AGTATTCCAAGTGTGGCCTTACCAAGGCATTGTAAAGTGGTATTAACACTTCACGTGATCTTGATTCTATCCCTCTGTTAATGCAGCCTAGCACTGTGTTGGCCTTTTTGGCAGCTGCAGCACACTGCTGGCTCATATTTAAATGATTGTCCACTAGGACTCCGAGATCCCTCTCACAGTTACTACTATTGAGCAAGGTGCCACCCCCTATACTATACCTGTACATTTGGTTTTTCTTGCCTAAATGTAGAACCTTACTTTTTTCACCATTGAATTTCATTTTGTTAGATAGCGCCCAGTGTTCAAGTCTGTCCAGATCCTTCTGTATCCTAAGCCTGTCTTCTGCCAGCTTGGTGTCGTCTGCAAATTTGATGAGTTCCCCATCTATCCCCTCGTCCAGATCGTTGATGAAGATGTTGAAGAGCACTGGGTCCAGAATAGAGCCCTGGGGCATCCCACTACACACTTCCCTCCATGTAGATGCGGTTCCATTGAGGACCACACACTGAGTACGGCCAGTCAGACAGCTACGGATCCATCTGGTGGTGATGTTTCAAAAACATTGTATTATGTACGCTATGTCATTCCAGGTTCTACTAGTCTAGTTTCCATTATCATATTTTCTACTATAAACACTAATACACGTGCTAATGAGGATCTTATGCAGCCTGCTTAATTAGTTCATTTTCCTTAGTTTTTCCATTATTCTTTCTTCTACGTGCAAAATAAGGACTTCAATCACAATTGCCATACATTAATAACTGTTGTTTAAGAAATGAAGAATAGCAGTTCTCCTCAAGACATGCTGATTTTACATATTTTTTCTTAAAGCAATAATGCATCAATATCGTGATGATGCCCACAGGCCTCAACCCCATCCATTGTCCAAATGGCTGGTGTTACCCTGGGGCTGGTAATTTTATGAAGAAGAAAACGGTCTATCAAGAGACAGATTATTAAGATGATAGCAACGCTGCATCAAGGGATAAGCTAAAATTGTGTAAAAAATGACAAAGTAATTTGGAAGGGAAGTTCTAAGAAAACAACATACTTTATGGATGATTCAATAGGAGAATCTCTGCTTTTTCAAGCAAAAAAAATTACATTTTGTGTATTTTAGGATAATCCTGTCATAAAGTATTTCTCAGATGCCTTGTGATAGAAGGATACCTTGAAATATAGGAAATGTGAATTTATTATTTGGGTGGTGCAGGACCGTCACTGTAGATTTAACTCAGTTATCCATCTTTATTACTATCCATGGGCCTAATATTTATTAAAGTCAACTCTAAAATACTGTTATCAAAAATAATCTCATACTAACAACAGTGCACATTAAAATGCAAGTCTACATATCTTATCAAATAATGCCTACAGAAATTCCTACTAAATTATTGTCAAGGAAAAACTCTATCCAGATATTGCACAGAATAGTTAAATTAATGGAGTTAAATAAATAATTGGTTCACATATATAAATCATCATTTAACATTGCATATATGTGGTAACATGTATCACTGAAACATACAAAAACTTTGAAAAAATACATCCCTAGAGGGACTGCTATGATTTTCATTCTTTTGATTACAAAATCCTAAACCTGACATGAATCTAGAGATCTTTTAAATATTTAGATGTTAGAGAAAAAGCAACACAAAATGAATTAGCACATACACAATTATATTAATTGTCAAGTTCTTTAAGATGTCATCTGAGAAATAATAATTTCAAAATACAGTTTTATTTATAAAACTAACAATTTTTTGTTTTAACAGGGTGGGAAATTGAGACATGAACAATGATCTCTAATAACATACCTAAATTGTATGTTTGATTCACACACACACACACCAGAATATTCCTCTTTGGGATAAATCATAATATAAGCTTAGAAATGGAGCAAAAAAAAAAAGTCAAAGCAATTAAAGACATGAAATAAGAAAAATGAAAGGAATCTAGCTAAATATAGCTTATAAAACTGCCATACTCTCCTTATCTTTCTACCACTGCAAACCATCTTTGCATCCACTCCACCACATCCGTTTTATACATTGCCTTTCTTGACTCTCCTTGTGAACTCATTAATTTCTTCTAACCACAATTTTCTTCCCTTTCCTAGAACACATGAGCTACTTGGGGTAAAACTAGAATGGCTGCACTTGTGGCATGCTAGCCAAAATGCACCAAAACTAACCAGTACTTTCTTTAGTTTTAGCAGGGATTGCTGCTGAATTGTCAGATGTACAAGTAAAAACTGATAGTCTACACTTCCTCTATCTTCCTAAAATGCATTATGTGAAAAGTATTATACGTTTGTTGATTTAGATATAAAAAAAGTAAATAGGTTTGAATTATGAAGTTTTATTAAAATAGGGAATTGAAATTTGAATGCTGAATACAAAATAAACAGTATGTGATAGATGTCAAACAAATCTTTTAATAAATAGAATGCTTAGCAAATGGTTTCACTATAAAAGTGGGAGCAAAATACTAAAGTGTGTTGGTGTCCTGGTTTAATCAGGGTATTTATATATACATATAATATATAAGTGTATTTCCTTTAAATACAAAAGGATCATTTGTGGTGATGTTTAAAGATGTTTTGGTTGGGAAGATAAATGTACATGTATTTGTGTGTGCAAACATTATCATGTTGTTGGCTGAGAACTCAAATAATCGGCAACAGATGTTAAATGCATTAAACATGGATCTGAAAATTAATGTACTAAAGACCAAT